CGTCTTTTCAGCATTATTTTGAAAGTTAGGATGATCTTTTCCAATCTCTGTTTATATCATGTACCCTTTATTTTTGCTCACCAAAACGGAAGAAATTGCCGCATTTATAATATAAACTGAAAAATTCTAGACGGAGAGAGCTTCTTGTAAGGATATTGCTCTCCATCTAACGTCGCTTCAATGATTTCAAGAACAACAAAGACCGCTTTCATCAAACTTCAGCCCGTCGTCGAGAGTCAATAAGCAAAAATTCTTTAAAATATAATAAAACGCACTCCTTCGAAAAACCTGCAATATTACTTTTCTAACTACTTTTTTAAGACCACTTATGTTCACGACGAGGACGGTTCCTTCAAAGCATAAATTCATTCAAAAATCGTTTAGCATTGGAAATTTATTTAGAAGAAAAAGAATAAATGTACAACTGAAAGTGTGCAAAAGTTGCAATGGTTATTACAATTCTGTGTGGAAAATTCTAGTTTGCTAATTGTCTGACTCTAGTCTTTTGAGAACCTTGGCTTTTTAAACAAAAAGAACTCTCTTTCTCATTTTTTTGTCAATATGGTGTAATGAATAGAAATAATTGACTTGCAGTGATAATGACATAATATTGACATTTTTGAAGGTTTAATTTTTATCTGTCCTCATGCAATTTATTTTTAATGGTAACTTCTCATTAGGAATTCATGAAAGTAGACTAACTAGTTAAAGGTAATATTTTAAAATTTATAGTTAATCATAAAACATTGGTATCTCAATGAGTTTTGAGAGGGCAGTACTCTTAATGGTAGCTTTAATTTGTCGAACGGCCATTGATAAAAGCTAAATAGGTAAGTTGGACAATAAAATTTGACCCCAGGTCACCCTAAATTATCTTCAACCTCAATCACCTTTAATGTTTATCTTAATCTATTTTCATTTTAAATTTCTTATAAATGTATTTTTCAGACAACTGAAATCTTAAAAAAGGTCAACACTATTCACGAACTATCTATAACGATAATACATTTGAAATTTATTTGGCTAGGGTTTATTACATGAGGATCATATCAATTTTCTTAAAAACAAGATAAATGAATAAACTATTAATTAATCTAAATTATAAATTAAATTTGTGTTGTATTAGTGCTGAACTTATAAGTTTCGTTGGTATAACATTTCACGTCGACTTGCAGTAAAGTTTTTATGATCACATATATTGGCAATATTTTTTAGTACGTTTTTTAGGTCGAATAAAAAATATGGCCTAATAAACATAAGAAGGATGTAAACATAAAAATGTGTCATATTTTGTCATTATCTTGTCATCGTCAAAAAATCCTCTATCATCATTTTTACGGTACCTATATGTGTATTTCATGATCCTGAAAATTTACACAATTTTCTTTTCGATATTTCGGTTTGGCACTCTCATTTACGATGTATCATAGGTGACGATTTATGACATGTTGATTGGCTTAAATTGTCGGCTCATGATGGAAATGGTAATTAAAGCACTTCATCATGATGACAATACCTTGTATTAAAAGGTTATAGCTATGATTTAATTCGCGCTTCAACACGGACAGTATGAATATTTCATGACCGCCCGAAAATCGGGGATGAAAAATAAGCCGACGACTTGAGAGTTTACTTTGTGAGAAAATTGACATCCATCTTCTAATCGCCTCTTAAAGTATAAAGTTCGTAAAGATCAAATTAAATAAAGCGGTAATAATTAAAAAACTATAAACTTGATTGTAAATAGTGAAATAGGTGAACACCCACTCTCTACCTTCTTATCCAAACGGTGGTAAAATTTGTGAAAAAAGGTCGTGACAACGAAGATTAATACGGTTATTACTACAGCAGTTCTGGTGTGATCGTAGGGAGAATAAAAGATTAACTGTTTTATTAGTAATATGATACTTGGCAAACGAGCATAAAATTTCTTTTTCAAAGACATGCTATTTAAGTTAGAATCGCTTCCACGGAGGAATGCTTCTTTTATTTAATGGCTTTACAACCTTTGATTAGCTAAAGAACGTAATTGATCATATGAGATGCGTATTCCGTTTTTTTTGTTTTTTTTTTGTTTTGGGGGGTGGTTGGGGGGAAGGGTTGCGTGAAAATAAAAGGGTCTTGGCGAGGGTGGGAAGCGAACCCACGACCACGGTGTCTATGAGCAGAGTCTATCACGTGCCCACTCGGTCTCCAGACTGACTAATTCAGTAAATGCTAATAATTCAGCCTACTTAACCAAGCACTTTTTATTGTTTTTATTCGTTTTACTGTAGAGGAAAGCATACGGTATCCAGGCCGGAAGTCTGAATAATCTTTTAATAAAAAATGTATATAACAACTCTACCTTTTCGTGTTTAATTCCTCCCCAAGTATTAAATGACGGCTTTTGTAACATATTTAAATAGCTAATTGCTCGAATAATTATTATTACGTAAAATTTATACTTGATTAGGCTAATTAAATTGTTAAATTTTTGAAAGTTAATTCATTTTTCCCGAGCGGGGAAATGTTAGGATACAACAGGAAACAATAACGAAAATGATATGTTACATACAGTTTCAACTCGACACTAATTAATCGGCACAATTTTAAATAACATTTTCTCTTAACGTTCGCTATTTTTTGGAACGCTGTTCGTTATATTACCATTAATCCGTGGATATTGATGGGATTAAATCTTGCTTTGATGTTATATGTAGATTGATAGCGGCCGTTACTAAACATTCTTAAGGCAAGATCGAAAACAAAAGGAGTTTCAGTGGAAGTATGGGACAAATCAATAAGTCAAGAACCAGCGGAGTAGTTAAGTCAAATAAAAGTACCACGAAATGCTCAATATTTCATATTTCCAATTGCTTTGCAAACTACCAGACAGCCGTTTTTAAATATATCATGATCCGCGTTGACAGCTATTAATGACTGCCGTGCGAGACATTTGGAACTAAACATACATAATGCAGTATGTGCTATTTCATTGCAAGTTATTAATTAAGCAAACATAATTTTATAGCTTAGAGATAGATAGGTATATAAATGTCTTGATTTATTTTTATATATGTTTTTATACTTTGTATTGTAAATTATACAAATGAAACAAGGCTTAGTAAATAATCTTTAAGTTGGTTATATACATTCACATTGATAAAAATTAAACAATTGAACCTTTTGTTTTTAAACATAGAGAAAATAAGTTAAAAATCAATAAATCATGTTTTCTTTTTTAAGTGGGTATTTCACCCTTATTTTACGCGATATAGAAAACGAGAAAAAACATATGTACGTTATAATACAAGGCGAGTTGGAAATGAAAATAATCGAAATAAATGAAATTAGTAAGAAGTGCTTCAAAAATGCTTCACTATTTTACACAGACACTTTTGCGTATCTCGAGCACTGTTAATAGGTGACTCGTAAAAGAAGGATAATCCTCACCCGATTAAGGATAGGTCAAGCGAGGTTGACATACGGACTCTTACCTTCTGGCTAAAGCCCGCGTACATCCTACACCGGCATGTCGAGCAAGGTTGCTCGACATGTTCGACTTAATTGAAGGGTGCCAATCCTTGGCTCCCTATAGAAAGCGCGTAAGAGTGAGATTTGTGCTTGAGCACAGCAGAGAGTATTTTGATCCCCTGTTCCGATTAGAGAAAACATGGTTGCCTTTTTAGTAAATAGTATTGACAGTTTTGTGCCCCGAAGTGAGTGTTGAGAAATGAATGTTTTTATTGGCATGGATCTATAGTGTGAGAGGACTGATAGCGGAGTATTCATCGGCTCTCAATTAGGTTAGTCATATAATGTGAGCAAAGATAATCGATATTCCTCCATCAAACTAACTAAGTGAACGGTGTGTAAATATAAAAGAATTAATCAAAGAGTGAGTGAGAGAGTGTTCGGGAGACTGATTACTATGGTGCTGAAATGACTTAGCTGTTGATAGCTCTGGAGCCCCCCCCCAACCTTGGTGACTGGACGGATACGACCTAGGTCTACCTATTTCCGGGGTGGGTGATTTTCGAGACCTGCCGGTAATTTCATGTAAAAGACAAAAGCCGGAATTGCTGGTGGACTGCGAGAAACTCTGTACACGTGCTTCTGTATGTATGTAGACGAATTTGAGCTTATACAAATCCAAGTGCGAACTGAAATATGTACCAATAACCGGCAAAGATTAAAGTAAGTCAAAATAAAACCCTTTTAATTATATCTGTTAAAAAAGTTAATGTTTTAAGATCAAAAATATCGATAATTCCATGCAGCTCTACATCAATTAATAGGTAACTGCTTTTCTATTCCACTAATATAAGTTATAATTTTCTTATCGAGAAAGAATACTCCTCAATACATAATCTTATACATTCAGAAGACAAAGGCACACAACTTATAACGATATTTTGCAAAAGGAACGTTTGCTTTGATGGATCCCCAAATGTACTAAAATTCTGTTTCCACTGATCACCCCTCGCTTTGAATAGCCAACTTATATAATAAATTGCATGTTGTAATTTATATTCACCACTCTGTTTGTGTATTTTTTAAATCTTAATTTAGGTACAATAATTTTTCTACATTGTTTTAATGGTTTGTTATCATTTATTGACTCTCCTACTGAATAGTACATTACTGATTTTATGTTTGAAGTTATGTCTGCACATTTATATTATATAAATAAAAAGTTTTATGTAAATTTATCATTCACGAATACGCATACATAAAAGGAAACACAACATTCTCTCTCTCTCCCTCGCTCTCTCTCTCTCGCTCTCTCTCTCCCTCGCTCTCTCTCTCTCTCTCCCTCGCTCTCTCTCTCTCTCCCTCGCTCTCTCTCTCTCTCTCTCGCTCTCTCTCTCTCTCTCCCTCTCCCTCGCTCTCTCTCTCTCTCTCTCTCACACACACACACACACACACACACTGATCTTCCTCCGTTACATACTTTATCATTGTTGACATGTGAATCGTTCGAATACGTTTAATTATTACATATGGTCAACATCAGATTGTAAAAAATACGTTGTTCTTTGACATTGTCTTTTACATTCATTTCCGATTAATATATTAGATTGTTTTCGAATTAAATCGGCCGTCGGGCATTATTGGCCGCTGCGGCGGACAACTTGGCGTTGCTACATCCCGAGAATGGATCGACATGTGGAATTCGGACGTTATTAAGAGCGAAGCCGGCCGGACAAGAATGCAAGTAATTAAAGCCGTGGGGGTGGCCCGGAGGATGCGCTGTGGATCTCTGGCCAAATCCACCCCCGGCCCTCAGTCGCCCTCGTGGAACCGCTCGGATCGGGGCAAAACCTCTCGAGGAAAATTTGAGACTGGTTTACGTACAAAATGTTCGTCGACATACGTCATTTTACCAGTTTTCTCCATTCATTTTAGTTACGTTTGGTGATTCTATTTTAAAAACATATTTTGTGAAAAAAAAATCTGTGCGGCATGCATTTTTTTAACTTCGCATTGCACCTTCTTCTGTTCACAATTTTCAAAGGTAAGTTGTTTTTAGTAAACAACCTCAATGTTTGCAAAAGTTCTGCAAACAAAAATTATCACAATACCAAGAAAAATTCATGTATTTATTTAAAATATTTTATAAAAGAATTGGCACAGGCCAAAAATTATAAAGGACAAGAAAGAAAAAAAATTATAAATGTACAAGAAATATCAACCTGTAAAATTTAAAAACTATAAATTGCTAAAAATTATTAATGGCTGTATGAAAAGTTGAACTTAAATTTTCAACAACACGTCAGTTTTTACTGTCATACTTACAAATTCTCGCTGAAATGAAAAATATTTTAGGATCTATTTACTTTATATACATAAATGTCACGTTGATGGATAATAACAAAGCCGCCGAGAACTTGAAAAAACTAAGCAACGTTTTAAATATGAGCAATTGTGGAAACAAATTCCAGCAAATTGCAAACTTTTTAGGTCATATATTAACTTCCTGCTTTTTTAAACAAGTGCATGAGAGTGCGTTATTTTTCACACATACTTGTAAATTTTATAAATGTGCTCTATTCTTTTTACTACATGCTATTTTTATAATGAATTGTGCATATATTTCTTCTATTTTTATTTAAAAAAGAAAATAATTTGAATAAAAGGAATTTCTGGCCGATCGACGAGGGTCAATATAGGCACTGAGGGTATGTTTTTGATGTATTTTGCTGTCCAAAACAGCATACCCGCTGTTTATTTTCCAGGAAAACATCGCTGGAACGTAGCAGACATTTTTTAAACGCTTTCAAAACGAGGAAAAGCGAGAAAATGTATAACTTATTAACCAGCACCAAACTTCAAATCAAATGTATTGATCAAAGAAAATGGTCATGACCAGTGCTAGAAGTATTATTTTATTTTTGTAATAGAGTACGTATTAAGTAGTGGTAAAAAAACTGTTAACAATTCAACAGTTAAAGTGAAAATGCCCTGGAAACCTTTATGATTATAACATAAACAATTATGAAAAGAAATAAAGTCAACAAAATCATAAAGCTTAAGAAGATTAATCGTTACGAAGATGCTGAGAAATGCTGTACAAACCAATTGAAGTTAACAGTTTTCAAGGTTTTTTTTTTTTTTAATTTTCTATAATCATTTAAATAAAAAACCTATCTACGGGTTGTTAACACAACTACCTACTACATATTGTATAATTACTACAACAAAAAATGGATGTATGAAGGCAACTTTAAGCGAAGTACGTGTGGGTTTGGATAATACAACAAAATACAACAAATAGTACATACTTTACCGCGCCATACATTTCCAGATGGTATAATTTACAATAAATTTTGGTTGTCACATAAAAATTTAAATTTCTTCTGTAGACTTTCGAACATTTCATATTAACAAATCAAATATTCATCCAGTGTACAAATATTTTATTTTTTTATTATTTCCTTTTTTTACCCCAACTTATGAACCAGTATGAATTAAATTCATTGGTCGCGAGTAAATAACAAAAAACAATTCATCAATTATAAATTTTGATCAATAAATATATCACTGCCAATAACCCACCATAATATTGATTTTACGGAGTACTAAATTCTATGAACAGATTGAATTACACTTACTGCTAACTGTCTACTTTTTATGTTTTTATGTCACAAAAACGCTTATTACGAAAAACATTCTTTTCTTTCCCAGACTCGTAAAGTCAGTGCATGCTATAAAATTTTATTAGAACCATTATATTAATAGTATTTGCTTAATGTTATTCCATTAACTAATTACGTAATGTAGATAATTTATTGTATATTTCTGATAGTCATGCTGAAATTGTTTTACACAATCGAATAGAACTTTTTGGTTTAAATTTTACCATTAAACTATAGGCGTCATGTAAACGACAGTCAATGAAAATAATAAACATTCCTCCGCAGATGTTCAGTGTAATGTTATCGTTGATGTCTGCTAGTTCAAGCGTATTTGGTGTTTTTCCCACGTGTGCTCAATAGATTTAAAATAGAATTCAAGTCAAAAGTTTTACTGTTATGATCAGAGAAATTACAAACCTCAACGTCAATATTAGACAAATCGTTAAATAAATTGGAAAATAGTAAAATTTCTTCCATCCTGGTGTCTGGTGACATGTATCACTATTTGCCGGTATTGACGTCCTTTTTGCCAAGTTGCACTCAGATGTCTGTCACGCTAGCTTTCCGCAAAAGAAGTATGAAGGGACTTAAACCTCCGATAAACTTTCCGGGCGTTTTCAAGTATGTTTTTACCCAACGAACGCTTAGAAATAAGACCGTTGGCGTTATCGCTCTTGATTGAGTGACCAGCTACCCTACTTGACACATTGAAGACTCAAATATAATTACTCCCTGGTGACCCGGTCATTGATTGGCACTTTAAAATCACCCAAATATGGTTTTTCCAAGACTTAATAATTAATTAAATGATTGCACAATATTATTCCGTTTCAAATAAAGTATAAACAAAAGATTTCTTCTACGAATTATTTCCGCATGAAGCTGATTGTTTCTAACTAACAAAATAATTAACAAAGTATAACAAAAAATATAAGTAAGAGGATTTGCTGATGTATAGACGTACAGAGCACTTATTTTTAATACAGATCGTATTTTTATTGGTCTGTCTTGATATATAGTAGTTTATATAGTAAGCAATGATATACAGTATGTAATACCTGCAATTCATATGCATAAAAACAGAAAAAGAGGCAGAGAGAGGAGAAAGAAAATATGAGTTTTAAATTAGACATTTTAAAATTAAACATGAAACTTAACTAATAATGTCGCTACTCATAATTTACAGTAATTACCTAATATGTGTATTTTGTACTTTATTTATTCCCGTGGTGGACAGACAACTAATTTATTTGGGGGGGGGGGGTCGAGCAATTCTCGGATTCTTTTTCTAATCTTTCCATTCTAACCTCACATCTCGTGAAATAATAGCCCGATAACAACGTGGTTGGTCACTGTATCAACTGTAAAAAGCCCGGGTTCGAATAAAGCGGCCCTGCATTTGAACCCAACATACTTACATATGGGCTTTTTGTTTTTCAAAAACATCGACATCCGAGGGTTGATAAGATATCTGCTGTTGCTAAGCCTCGTAAAAGAAATACATGACGTTGAACATTTGGTACAAATTTGCCCCTAATTATCGTCAATCAAATTTTTGGTCACACTGGGCCTGAATTTATTTTAGATCTAAAAAAAAGCGCTCTTCTAACCATTATTTTGTTCTTGTTTACTTAAAAAATAAGCAATTCAAACAAATATTGACCATAAAAATAAAAAACGTGAATTTTCACTAGTTTTTTTTTTAGTTTACGTTCGATTTTCAACTTTTTGAGAGCGTTTTTCTGAAGTATCGTTTTGATGAAGCCACCCAGTACTGTCGGCTTTAAGACACGACCGCCGGATAGCAGAGTTCCAGTTTTATTGGAATTTATCCATTTCTAGACTTTTAATTTTAAATCGAGCTTTTCTCGCTCAAAATTAAAAATTCTTTAGACCAATCGACACACACAAAAATCTAGTTCAACAAAAAACTTTAAAAAACTTAAAAACTTTTCAAAAATTATTTTGGAGCACTTCCAATGCTTTCGACGGATATGCTCAAAATTGCAAATCTTTTACGCCAAACGATGCTGGAAAATTCTACTTTAATATATTATATTTTATTTTTGGTGACCAATAACCAGAATTGGTCGTCCCCCCATTAATAACAATCGACTTATCCATCTTTTATGAGTAAAATTTCTTATTTATTTTTTTTATTAAAAATTTTTATTCAATGTGTGGTTGAGATGAGAAATTAGCCTCACGATAGGGACTCGAACCCTCGCTCTAAGCTGCGGTTTGAGCACCGGGGTGCGGTCGGGGCCGAGTCCTGCTCGTCACGCTAATTTTTCATCTCAACCACGTTTTACACAAAAATCATAAATTAATTTGAATCATTACTTTGGTTTACTAGGACCAACTGAAAAACGTGTATTTATGAACTTTTTTGCTCAGACTCACAACATTAACATAAATCAGCAACCCAAAACAAACTGTTTTAATTTACTTTTAATTAAAGATGTGCATATAATATACATTATATGTAATATAAATATTTATTCTTATTTTTCATGACAACATCCAATCATCAAAGTTGCCACAAGTCTGAGCTATGAGCAATCTACTTTCAAATTTTTTTTTTGTTAAGTGTTAACACGAAGAAAATTTTTCCATTTGGGAGTGAAGTGCTTTTAATCTCGGAAAATGCCATCCCCATAATAAAATGTGTATACAATAATAATTCTTTCAACATTTTATTCAACGAGAAAATACACCAACCGCCCCTATGAGCGGATTGGCTCAGTAAAAATACGTGAAGCGTAAAACAGAAAAGTGGAGGATAGTTGAATCCAAATGGGTTGATTTTAGGCAGTCTTGGAGAAAATCCAATATCCGAGATGAGATTTCTTATGCTTCTTTTCTAAGAAACGCATCGCATCGATTCTGCATTCATTTTTTTACTTTATTTTAAAAATAAATTATGAAAAAAGCTTTAACTTCTTTAATATTTAACATGTGTTGTGAAATGAAAGTTGTGTTCAATGTTTACCTTTTTAAAATTGAAATACTGCGTGCATGCATTTTATTTTTATTTATTTTCTTACATCGTAAAATGAAGGAAAGCCCAGGATTTTTTTACGCAAAAGATTTATTTATTTTATATTTAAAATTTTTCAACATAAATTTCAACACAAAAAACACCCAAGAAATTAACATTCTCAAACATCTAAACTGGATTGAAATTTAACAAGCAAAACTAGCAATGCTAAAATTTAAAAAAAGTTTAAAATTCAAACTTATTACCCTTCAAGCTATCAGGATTACTATTATGTTAATCAAAAATAATCTCAACGCAATGACATTCACAATGATTAATGGTCAATCAATTTTAATATTCCATAAAATTATTTATAATCAAGTACCAGTGAAGAAAAGG